TGTGAATCTTTAGTTCTTATGCACACATACAAACTACCTATGGATCTTTTTAAACTGTTGATTCTGAGTCAGTGTTTGTTTCTAGTGCACATGCAAACCCACTGAACCTCGAGTCAGTGCTGGGTTTCCAAAGTGCTAAATCTTTACAGGAGCAAAAGGTCTCATCTTTCCTCCACACAGCAGCTGATGGGTTCTAATGGCAAACCTTCTGATTAGTAGCCCAACACATAACTAACTACCCAGCCTGGGCTCCATATCTGGTGTGGAAAGGCAAGTTCTCAAGGGTGGGTGGGGGCGGTGGTGGTTCAACTAGAATGAACCTGTCCAAAGCCCTGGTTCCCACAGCTGACCTTTCAGTTAAGAAGCAGGGTAAAGTTTAACTGTGACACCAGCAGGGCTCCTAATTTATGACCACTAATACTTAAATAAAAGGAGCTCTCTGGTGTAGTAGGTTACAAGGTGGTCTGCTAGCCACAAGGTCAGCAGTTTGAATCTAGCAGTCACTGCAAGGGATAAAGATGAGGCTTTCTGCTCCCATAGAAACTTATGTACTGGGAAACCCGAAGAGGGCAGTTATACCTTGTCCTATAGGTTTGCTATGATTCAGAATCGACTTAACCAAAGTCTTTGGTTTTGGAATTTTAAAATAAAAGAGTCTCTAAATAAAGGGCCACAGGTACTATAGTGCTTAAGCATTGGGCTGCTAACCTCAAGGTCGGTGGTTCAAACCCATCAGCTCATTCTGCAGGAGAGTGATGAGACTGCTTCCATAAAGATTTAGGAAACCGTAAGGGAGAGTTCTCTCCTATAGAGTTGCTATGAGTCAGAATAGGCTCCATAGCAGTGAGTTTGTTTTGTTTTTTAATTTTAAAAAGCTCTCAGCACTGCTTAGAACTTCTACAATTTCTTTCTCCTTACTCTTCAATCTTCCAAAATAATCTCTCTTCCTAATCTCAGCTGTTTAGCTCAAATTTTATTTCTCCAAGAAAATGAAAAGCTTTCAGAAATGAATAATCTCTACACAAGAGATTTTGAGTTGGATTCAACTTGATGGCAATTAGTTTGGGTTGGTTTGATCTATATCTTATCTGTCTTTCTCCCATTATAATGAATGAACTTTATGTGTCTTCTGCTGTTCTAAACTGAGTTAATACTGTAATTATTTCCAGTGTACAACTGAACAGAGCAACACATTATAAAATTTGACAAATAACCCCAAATTAAAAATTTTACTGGGTATACATTTCTTCATGAGATAAATGAGCTTGTTCTTTTCACTGGTTAGCTAATATTTCATAGATAACTGTTAGCTACTGCTAAATGAGAATGAAAGTAAAATAAACTATTTAATTTTTCATCATATGTAAAAAATGAGAAAACTACATAAATAAGTCAATGGAAATAGGCTTGTCATAGCAGCATCACAAAGTTCATTGAATTCATGTTAGAAATCATATATTTACCATAAAAAGTATTCCTAGAGAGAATCAACAACTTTAATGATTATTTTATTACATTTTAATGGTTTTATTAGGATTTACTTCTTTACATTAGCAAATTAATCATTTGTAAGATTCATCTCTGTTGATGGATATAACTGTAGCTAGATATTTTTATGCCTGAATAGTAATCTATTATTTATCCATTCTGCAACTGTGGACACTGGGTTATTTTCTGTTTTTTTACGGTCATGAGTAATGCTGCGATAAACCTTTCAGTACCTGAACCCTTGATGCCCATGTATGAGAATTTCTCTAGGAATAAAAGTGGTGTGCATACTTTTCAAAGTAGTTATTCTAATTTATATTCCCATAATTCTTGTCCAAAGCAGGATTTATTGATCTTAGTAATTTGCTTATCTGGTAAGTTTTACTGCTTTTTAAAAAAAATGTAGATGCCTAGAATAGTTAGGTTTGTGTCAAGTGTCTGAAGGAGAAAGACTCAATGAGTGGAGAAGTGGCTCTTGCTTTTCCTGCTGGCCTGGATGCTGTGCCTGGTTCCTTGGGACATGGTCCAGTAGCCCACCATACTTCCTGCAGGTCCTGGGAGCCACCCACACCTGCCATTACATTTGATCTGCCCACTCATCTCTGTCTCCACCGGCCAAGATCTCCCTGCTTTGTCCTCCTGCTTCCTGGTTTGTTTTCTAACGTCCTGGTACTCCAACTCCAGCAGTCACACAAGTCAGGAAAAGCCTCCAGCTTAATATTGCACACAGGACTTAAACAAAACTGACCTTAACCATTGTTACAGTTCTGTGAGTAGAGGGACATGGGGCCTCTACTCAAGTACTCCCTCAATGCAAGAACACTTTGTTCAAATAACCTGGTGTTCTGTGATGCTCACCTTCGCAACAGGATCGGTGAAGACAAATGGGTGCATAAGTAAAAGTTGTGAAGAAAGTTGATGATGCCTGGCTAGCAAAAAATATAGCACCTGGGGTCTTAAAGGCTTGAAGATAAACAAGTGGCCATGTAGATGAAAAGCAACAAAGTCTACATGGAAGATGTACACCAGCCTGTGTGATCATGAGGTGTCGATGGGATCAGGTATCAGGCATCAAAGACCCAGAACAAAAAATCATATCACTGTGAATAAGGGGGAGTGTGGAGTGGAGACCCAAAGCTCATCTGTAGACAATTAGACATCCCTTACAGAAGGGTCACAAGGAAGATACGAGTCCCACAGGGTGCAGTATAGCACCGATGAAACATTCAGCTTTCCTCTAGTTCTTTAATGCTTCCTCTCCCCCACTATCATGACCCCAATTCTATCTTTAGAAAAGGCTAGACCAGAGCATGTACATAGGTACAGAAAAGAGCTGGAAACAAAGGGAACCCAGGACAGATAAACCCCTCAGGACCTATATTGAGAGTAGAGATACCAGATAGGGGCAGAAAGGGGAAATTGATCACAATGATCTACATATAACCCTCTCCCAGGGGGATGGACAACAGAAAAGTGGGTGAAGGGAGACATCAATCAGTGTAAGACATGAAAAAGTAATAAGAATTTATAAATTATCAAGGGTTTATGAGGGAGGGAGGGTGGGGAGGAGGGGAAAAATGAGCTGATACCAAGAGCTCAAGTAGAAAAAAAATGTTTTGAAAATGATGATGGCAACAAATGTATAAATATGCTTGATACAATGTATGTATGTATGTATGTATTGTGATAGGAGTTGTATGAGCCCCCAATTAAAAAAAAAATATATATATATATATGCAGTGGTTATTCCGAGAAAACAGAGTAGATACCTTTGATAGAAGAGAATTACATATTTTTAAAATTCTATTTTAATTTTGTAATGTGTATCTATTACTTTTCCCTTAAAATAATTTTCAAAGTCAAAACAAATGGAAGTATATAGTTCAATATTTTCTTAACCATGCTCTAAATTCCCTTGGTAGACTAACCTCATCACAAAACTTTAAGAATGGAAAAATTAACAAGTGATTTTCTGTGGTGTTTGGCTTCCAAACCCATAGATTCTCACAATTCTGAAAGAAAATGAAATTATAAATAGCCCCAAAGCATTGTTAGCATACATAATTGACCACCACCAAAGTCATGTAGAGTAACGTGATCTCAGATTTCAAAGAATGCCTTCAAGGATTGCACAACTTAAAGCAGCAAAAAGTTAGGCAAAGGAATACATCATGACGACAGAGATACATCCAGGCCTTCCAGAACGCTTCCCCTGTAAGTGTAAGTGTGGGAACTGAAAAACAACTAGCAACATTTTGAACACACACACTCCAGTTTCCCACAGAGCAAACCTCCTACTTCATTTACCTGCCTGGGCCCAACAGGAATTGGAATTTGGAATGCCTGCTTTAAGGCATATCTCAAAATTCACTTCTCTGGAAGCCTCGTCATTCTCTCTTGTGGAACATTTCCACTCTGTGTACTCACAGCACGTACATTTGTACACCTCCCAGTTAAAAGCCCTTCTATCGCTGCATTGCCATGTGCTTTTCCCTGTGAGTTGCTCAGGCTCTAGAGCATACCGTATTTATTACGTTTGTGCCCACAGCAGTGAGGACAGTGAGATCCCATTTAAACTTTGCCACTTAAAATCACTTGACCTCTTGATTGTTTGCTTAAAAGAAATGCTTGGATAAATGGATATATATGTATTATTTTTACAATTTACAATTTCCAAAAATATGATGGAGTCCTTTCCATGTTCTCAGCTGTCAGTCACTGGGACTCAATTTCTAGTTTTTCCAGGATGGATGAAAATGAATTTAAATTAGCTTGGTAATGATTTTTTTTCAATTTGTTTTATGTCAAATAAACTATATTTGTCGGCTAAAGCTGGTGTCCCAAACAAGAGGTTAGAGTCTCTGCCTAAAAATACAAATGCAGACCGTGAAGGACACAGAAGAGGGAACTCCAGACATACAGCACAATGTACCCTGTGGTGCACACATGCGGCTAGAACATAGTGTCATTCAGAGGAATCAAGGCATTAAACTGCTAAGACTGACTGGGCATAAGGTGAAGTTGATTTTGCTATCTAGGGAAGCGTGGGGGAGAAATTACAAGGTCATGTAAGTCACCATAACCTTTGTATGCACAAATTTATGTATGGTAACAAAAATTAGGTGCATGTTGCCACGAAAAGCATTTAAAGTCATATTGCTCCAATAAACTGTTTAGTTATAATAGGTTGACAAACATTAATGTGTTTATCTGAAATGAAGAAAAAGGGTTCATAATGTTTTTTCTAAGAGTAACAAAAAGTCTCAAATCTGGACACATTAAAAACTTTAACTTTTGGTGAGACCACGAATACTTTTTTTAATATCAAAACTTTTTGTCAAGTAATAATAGAGGCTTATTTAATAATTTATGTCTACAAGCAAGCATTAATGTCTAAAAACTAAGCTTAATAACCGAAACTATTAAAAGAACTAGAACATAGTCTTAAAATTGTGTTCATAAAATCTAGTACTTCTAAAGCTATCTATTTCGAGAAAGTAATTTCTACCTACCTTTTTTCCTTTAGGACCCTAAAAATTGGAAGAACAAGAGAACTGATAAATTTTTTAAAGAACTCAGATAATTTTTAATAAGTGTATAATGATTATGTTACATATTGAGATTAGGAAAAGCTGGGTGCTATATGCAATATCTTTGCAACTTTTCTGAAAATTTATACTTATTCCAAATAGAGTTTTTTCTTTGTTTTTAAGTATTCAGACAAGATTATAAAGAATTTTATATAGACCTAATCAGGAAATTATAATAGCAATACTATAATTGTACATCTTTACTGCAATATGTGGTTTCTGCTAATTATTTTAGAAAGCACATATTGCAGTAAAGATGTACAATTATAGTATTGCTATTATAATTTCCTGATTAGGTCTATATAAAATTCAGGTTTCGGGAATTTATAGTAAATCCTATAAGTTTAATATTACACACTTCCCACATTTGAAGTCTATGGAAAACACTGACTCAAACCATAAGCTTATGAGCACATAACATGTAAATGTTAAGAATTGCTCAGATCCTATCATACCATCTTGAAGGGATGCACACAATGTTACACATTCCATTAATTCATTCAGCAGATATACATTAACCACTTACACACAGAGCACTCTGAAATGCTGTGGAGAATGCAAAAATGAAACATACTTTGCATAGATCTTATATGCAAAAATGACAGTTTTCATACGATTTCTACAAACGGAATCCATTTTTAATATTATATTTGGTAGTTAACATATTTCCATTTTTAAATTATTATTGCAGGACAGGTAATGAAAATAGCATTGTCCCATTTTTTAGTCGCCATATTTTCAGATAAGTTAATTCTCACCTTTCCTATGGCTTTTAATGTAAAGCAGGTTTGGGATAAGTACATGCACTCACCCTCCTATCAACCTTAAGAAACCTCACAAAATACAAAGAGGAGAGAGCATTTGCATA